GCCACAGAGGACTAGAGTGGAGAGTGAAGCTACCAGCTGATAGGAAGAGAGGGCATATGCACAAGAACATCCACACTTGCAGATGGTACCCATGTGACCTGGTCCTGAGGAATGGATGATCAGAACTCAACTAGGAGAAGAAAGAAGAAGGGGGGAGGGGGAAGAGAGTGATCTGAGACAATTTGATTAACTTTATCTACACCTATGGATGCAGTAACCCAAAAGAGGGAACAAACCCTCACAGCAAGAAACATTTCCACCCCCTCCACACAGAGTAGACAGAGATGGGCAACTTGGACATTGAATACCCAAATGGGGCGGGGAGGGACCACAAAGGCAAGAAGTGACTGGCTTACAAGCTTTCAAGAGGGAACCTAGAGCTAGGGGGCATGGAGGAAGGCAGAATCTCCAGTGAGTACTATCCAATCTGTCTAGGTGGATCTGATGAAATGAAATGCAAAAGGGTCACTTGTGATACAATAGTGAATGATTGTTGTCAGGATTGATTGTGAGGGTTGGAAATGTAAAGGCAGACGTTTGGTAGCAAGGAAGGGAGTGATTAACTCTCCAGTCTAGGTGCGGAGGTCTCTGGGACCAACAATGGAGAAGAGCCGAGAGTGAGACCCTACCCAGAGAAGCAGCGAGGCCCGAGATGGTGACAGAGACGATGACGTGGAGTGATGAAGTGGCCGGGGACTTTGGATCCAGAGAGGGAGAGGGACTGGGTCCTGAAGAATTGGGGGGGTGAGGAGTGTAGGGGGCGGGTTTATAGGGTATACCCTTTGGTCAGTTGATGATGCATGGAGGGGACTGGAACCATGGCAATGAGACGATGTATGATGGAATGAATGTAAAACTAAAGTTCTCTCATGTAAAATATCATATAATTCACAATAAAACATGGAAAAATAAAAAAAGGTCCTATGAAGCAGTTCTACTTTGCATACTGGAAATCATTGAGTCAAGAATCAACTGGTTAGTTTCATGAGGGAGTTGTTTCAGAGTGTGTGGGGTAAGGTAGAGTCCCCACTGAGTGGCTTTCATCTTGTCTAGATGGGTCTGGTGAAAAGAGATGAGGATAAGATTCTTAGGATTCAATAGTAATTATTATCATGACTAATTGTGACTGTCACAACTGTAAAGATATAAGTTTTATAACAAAAACAGGGGAGTAGTTAATCTTACAGTCCAGTAACAGAGATCCTAGGACCATCAACAGAGAAGAGCACGAGCAGTATTTGGGATCCTCTCCAGAGAAGCAGCGACACCAGAGATGGAGGCAGAAATGAGAGAACATGGAGAAAGAGAGCAGCTGAGGACTTTACTTATGGAAAGAAGGGAGTAAGTGCTGTCAGCCAGGAGATAGGCTTGCAGAATTCTGCCCTTCGGTTGTTTAAATTATATACTCCTGAGTCTTTATGTGTATATTCCACACACACACACACTCAAAAAATCCCTATACCGGGTTGCTGAGTTGAAACTAACTCAACAGCATGTAATACAACATAACAACAAAAAATGAGAGTCCTGGTGTGGTGCCACCATAAATAAGATCAGCACTGAACTGCAAACCACAAGGTCAGCCATTCGAGCCCACCAGCTGCTTCCTGGAAACCCTATACATGCATAGTCCAGTAAGTAGGAATTGACTCCATGGCACTTCACAGCAATAGCAACAATGAGACAAAGACAAATGTATTACTGAGAACTTGTCCCCAGTCATCCACTGTCCAACCTCAGAGATGTTTAAACAAGTCGTTTGGAGTAAACCCATGAATGTAACAACTGGGGAGAAAAATGTCATAACTGCTAAAATAATAAACACATTTATGCTTGAAGAAGTACAGCCACTGGCTGATCTGAAGTTTGGGAGGATGTGTGAGCTCCTGAGCCCAAGCCAGGTTGTCTGAAGTGCAGGGAGATTTGAGTGAACCCCCAAACTTGCAGCTTGTATCTATTTGACCTGCCTTGGATGACAAGTTGACCCAAATTCCATCCAAGGAAGATAAAGACATTTGATATGTGAACAAGTGCCAATTGCTACAATTTGACAGACTAGAGTTTTGCCAATGAGTGCAGCCACTCAAAATTCCAACTGGATTGGAAGGGTTCTTCGTATCAAGTAACCTTGTTTCCTCAGTATACTACTGGGTTTATAGGGACAAGAAATTTAGACATTGGCTATCAAAAATGGGGGCTGGTGGGTGTAGGGGAAGGTAGAATCCCTACTGAGTGGTTTTCATCCTGTCTAGACAGGTCTAGTGAAAGGAGATGGGAATAAGATTCTCATGATTCAATAGTAATTGCTATCATGACTAATTGCGATTGTTACAACTGTAAAGGTACAAGTTTTGTTGCAAAAAGGGGTGGGTCCATCTTAGTCCTGGAGTGGCCCCTGGACCATCAAGGGAGAAGAGTGGAAGCAGCGTGTGGGACCCTACCCAGAGAGGCAGTGATGCCAGGGATGGAGGCAGAAACTATGACGTGAAGAGACAAAGCAGGGAGGGGATGTGTGGTGGCGGCCAGGGGGCAGGGCCTTGCAGGGTGTGCTCTTAGGTTATATGAACAATTATGTATTTCTGAATACTTGGGTGCACATCCAAAAACAACAATAAAAAAAGATGGAATAGAAGCAAATACTGTTGAATGATGAAGCATGCAGTGGACTGTAACCACTGTAATGAAATGAATATGATAGGAGTGTAAAACTGATGTTTCCCCCATGTAAACTATTGCTCAATTCACAATAAAAATTAAAAAAAGACTATTTAAAAATAACATCCCTTGAAGACACCAAAACCGGTGTAAAATAAAGTGCACTGAATTCTTTAGGGGCAGGTATAGAAAGATGTAAATACTGCCTTCAAAAACACATAGTCCTAGATGGAGGATATGTTGAAAAACAGTAATTTCATATTCTGATTTTTTGTTTAATAAAGGCTTATATGAGTTTGTAAAATAAATACATAAAATGAGGGGGCGTTTATAAAGGCATGAAGTAGCTTACAAACTTTCATGAGTGTCCTTAGTTTCAGAATGAGGAGGGTAAGGTAGAATTCTCATGAATAGTTTCCCCCTTTTCCAGATAAATCTGGTCAAAGTGGATGGAGGATGAAGGTGATAGATTTTTATTAATCAGTTGTGAACAACTGTTAGCAGTTGTCACAACTGTAATTGTAGAAAATGTGTAACTAAAAGTGGGGAGTAGTTAATCTTTCATTTCAGGAATAGATGATCCCAGAAGCGTTTCATCAAGAACATGAGTGAAGCATGAGATCCCTACCTAGAAAAGCGGTGATAGCAGAGCTGGTGACAGAGTTTACTGTTTGACTAGGTGTTAATGGAGTTCTGGTGTGGCGCCATAGGATAAGCAGTGGACCTCAAGGGCAGCTGTTCAAACTCACCAGCTTCTCCTTGAAAACCCTATACAGGGATGCTATGAATCAGAACTGACTCAACGACACTTAACATCAGACACTTAACATGAAAATGTGCAAGTTGTATTAGTAACGGAAAAATGCCAAACTACAATGGAGTAAAGTCATCTATGTGCTTGAATGTACCTGTAAAATTTAGGAATAACAGAAGCCTAACAGGAAGGAGGGAGGAACTAGACAGCTCTAACTTGGGCAGTAGCTCTCACCTGGAAGATTGTCATTGCTCCAAAGAATGCACACAGCTAACCTATTCAGAAGCCCATATGGGTCCATGTGCAAAATATGAACAAAAACCATGAGAACACATTTTCTAAAAACTGTAGGTTTTTTATTTAGTTAAGAGGTAGACAGATGAACATGGAAGGCTGTCCCATTTAACTTGCCGAAATTTACATTCCACTTCATTCATCCATCCCATACTGCCAGTAATTTTAGAGAAATAACCAAGATTCCCAAGTTATTTTTCTTCCTACTTCTTAGCAATTAATAAATTGCTTACAAAGAGGTTATTACTAACTTCAACTTTCATTGTGTCCAAGGAACTTCATCCCTCTTAGAAGTTCCCACATATGCCAATAGAATCTGCCACTAGTCTGCCAAGAGGGCTGAGTACAAATGACTCTATTTCTATGAGACTACAAGGGGAGCTTCAGTTTAATTTTGTTGTTACATCCCTGTGCATGTTAGGGCAGAAGCTGGTGAAATCAACCAGGCAGAGCACACTAGGTCAAATGGCTCTGAATGGTTGTTGTCTCTGAAGATAACTTGTGATTTTATTATTTTTTAAACATTCAAACATAATGGAATTGAAGCCTGATACAAAAAGTAGAGAGAAATATGTACAGGAATTCATAGCCCAGAAGGAAACTGGACTTAATAGGAACCAGTGGAGACCTGGCTATTTTACATAGCTAATTTGAGACAAGTCATATTTAGCACAAAAGCAATTATAGCACAAGTAACACTTCCCTCCCACAGCTCCCAAACATTAAAGACTCTTGCCAGTCTTCTGTAACACTGTAGGCATTCTTCAAGGGAGCAGGAATGTGTAAGGTAGTTTTCCAAACACTGACACAAATCCTAATCCCAGCTTCACACTCACAGGATGACATACTTGAAGACTGCCATAATAGCAGCACTGATAAGTCCAGAAATGGGGACTGTGACAAACCAGGCCATAAAAATATTACGGAAGAGTCTCCAGTCAACAGCCTTCTTAGATCGGAGCCAGCCAACGGATACAACAGAGCCCACCTACAGAGAGAAACAGATCAAGAAAAATGGTTTCTCATATGTCACTGTTTAAGTTATTTAAATAGGGAATTCTGGACTGATTCCTTGAAAATTTATGTATAACAGGCTGAATACTCCTGGAAAAACAGAAGCTAATACAGAGACCCAATCATTAAATCTGTGCTTACTGAGATAACTATGATGAGAAAAACACTTCCTTTATTTCTCCTGAACTTCTGGAATGTCTTAATTACTATATTGACTTAATAATAAAGTACACATAATTATTTAAAATTTTTGGTTTTCCAAAAATCAGTCTACTGAGATGCTGCTATTAGACCTAGTAGCTGATCATCTGGAGAAAGATTTTGGCAGAAAAAGGATGACTCACCAGGATTTCTTCCCTGATGAAACAAACTTGAATTACTAGACAGGGAGCTTTAAAAAGTTTGTGAAAAACTTCCACTATCTTTTAATTCCATTTTTCCAATCTTTCTGAGGCCCCCTCATATGGCCATCAAGCCTTGAACGTAAGCTTTCTGTAAAGAAACTATCCATCCAGGAGAGCTCAGATTTGCAAAACCACAAATAGTAACGACAAAATACATGTTGTTGCTACATGTCACTGAGTTACTTTTGACTCATAGCTACCCTGTGTAAGGTTTCCAAGGAGCAGCTGGTGGGGTTGAACTGCAGACACTGCAGTTCGAAGTGAACTTGTATAGTCCAGAGCTTATACAGTGCCACACCAAGACTCATAAGAAACACATAGCCAGAACAATAAAAAGCTGGCTTGTTTATTATCTCATACCCAAACTACTCCCAAAATACAACACATACTGCTGTGTTCTCTGACATCACAATAATACAAAGCAACTGCAGTAAGTCAGAAACTATCACTAGCTCTAACAACAAGAAGGCCACTGCCACCGAGTTGCTTCTGACGCATAGAGACCCTGTATCAGGTTTCCGAGGCTAGAAATCTTTACAGGAGAAAACGCCTTTCTCCCAAGAAGTGGCTGTGGATTTGAATCGCCAACCTTGCAGTTAACAATCCAGTGTTATCCTACAGCACCACAAGAATGAGTTAAGCGCTGTTGAGTCGGTTCTGACCCACAGTGACCCTGTATAGGGTTTCTGAGGAGCAGCTGGTGGGTTTGAGAACTGCTGACCCTGTGGTTCAAACTGACCTTGCAGTCCAGTCCATTATCCAGAACTCCACAAGAATAGACACAATTTTTTTTTAATGTGAGCTTTTACATTCTTGTAGCCAACTTGTCATAAACTTGTGGACTATTCAAAAAATAGTTCAAACTTTCTAAATCAAAGCATTAGAAGTAAAAGCTTATGTTATGACTTGAACCATTCATCAGATATACTACATTTACTTTAGACTTACTTTACAATGTGTTGTACTGATGGGAAGGCCAATATTTGATGCAATTACCACAGTAAGAGCAGATGCCAGTTCAATACTGAAGCCACTGTAGACACACACAAAAAAATACTTTTGATAAGCTAGCAGCACTTAAATCTAAAATTATCTTGTTTTATTTGATGACGAAACTTCTAATGAAATCTTTATTTGCTCTATCCCCTAAGATCTAATTTGGACTATAAAACTCCTCCTCTTTCCTCCCTCCTCTAACATTTAATTGAGGTTCTAATTCGTATGGAAGCCATTATTAAATCTGTCTGCACTTTCATTTTGAAGAATCTGGAAAGGTAAACAATCAGTCTTAGCTCCAAAGTAGAGACAACAAAACCAAACATTCATAGTTCTTCACTCTCAGCAAGAAATCTTTCTCAGAAAAGTTATTTCATTTAAAAGATCACTAAAGTGGAATGGATATATGTTTAATCAAAATTATGTTTAAGGGCCATACAGTAAGTAAAAGTTTAAAGCTCTACACCACAACGTGGTTACTTTAACAAAAGAATGACTTACTTGTTTGCACTATATTACAAAATCTCTTAAGAAAATGAGTATACAGCTAAGGCCTGCTTCAACAACTCACCTAGAGGGGGTGATTGGTGTCAGATCTTTTCCCATGGTCTGGATAACTCTTCTTCCCCAGACCCAAAGGCCAATACAGATTCCAACACCACCATAGAGTAGAAGCCATATTGGAGTTGGGGCCTTTGAAGAAACATCTCCTGTATCATAAACCAGATACAAAGCAACCAGAGGACCAATGGCATTGCTGGAAGGGAAAAAAGAGGCAAAAATGGATTTTTCAAACAGAACTAGCCAAGAGCTAACTGATGAACATAACAAAGTTGTTTAAAGCACAGCTTTCAAGTTTACTTAGCAAATGATTCTTTGTTTCAAAGAAATAGTAAAGAGCCCTAATATACACAAGAGGGAGGAGAGAAAAAAAGCTGGTCTGAAGAAGGGAAGAGCCATGCATTTGGCCACCACCTCTCTCAGGGACCAGTAGACCATTTATAAACCAAAGAACTGAGGCTAACAACATACAAATTCATTCTACAGAAAAGTACAAGCTTTCATCTTAATCCCACTACTTAGTATTAAAGAATTGGACCCTATCTTAAATGACAAAAAGGCTTTTCAGTGAAAGAAGTCTGTTTGTCATCTCCAAAAACAAAGTTAAAAACATGTTTTATAACTTCTCTAAAGCATCCAATTTTACTGCCTGTATTAGTTAAGTCAGTCACTTCATCCTCTCTAAACTATTCAGTGTCACCAGGATGGTATGAGTACCACTGCCTCTGTGACCCTCCAGACTTAAGGATAAGATCACTTAAAAGCAGAAAATGCAACTTGAATACTAAAAGTCTACTAACCTAACATCATTGCCACCATGGGCAAATGACCCAAAGCAGGCCGTGAGGATCTGCAGGAATTGGAAGAGGAGAGACACTTCAGGCTTATCCTGGTCATACCACTCTTCTTCTACAGAGCCACTGCTTCCTTTTCTGTCTCCCAAACCCATCTCTCCCTTGACACTCATATCCATCTCAGACGCAGAGTGAATATCAGACACAGCATTGCAGTAACTGGTGTAACTATCCATGCGAATCCTCTTCTTGGTGTCTGCATTAGGCCATGTCAGCTTCTCCATTTCTTCACCTTTTTGTTCACCTTCTTTGGCACGAAATGAATCCAGAGGCATGCCACAAATTGCCATAGTATAGGAAGTATAGCTATTATTGCGTCTCAAGGGTTTGTCACCAGAGTCTCCCATGCAGTCTCCCACCTTGGCAAGATGTAATTTGTGGAGGAGCTCTTTGTACAAGCCAGAATCTTTATGCACGGTGTGATAATGATAGTGACCATTTGAGTTTATCTGGTTGCTGACTGCTTGACTGAACTGAACAAGGTTCCCATTAGGCAACTGCACTGCACCTAGCCAAGACCAAAAAGGTAACATTCAGTACAAAGAACATCAAGCATTGCAGGTAACAAAGTGAAACTCTTGTCAAGAAATTTCAGCTCACCATTTATGGCACTGTCTATGTTGGTCTCCTCCTTCAGGTCCATGCTAGGAAGCCTCTCTCGCTCTGGAGCTTCCTCCAAGTCTCCAAGCTTGAATGAGACGGTCCTTTCTTCCACCACAGCCCGGAGGGGCACAGTGGCAGAGCCAACATCAGAAACGGGACTCCTACTTTCAATATCACCAAGAGACAACTTTGCTTCTTCATGTTCTTTCAAGTTGATGTTTTTTTCCATCAAGGGGCTTTCAGAAGGACTAGACTTTATTTCTCCTAGAAAAGAAGGGATGTTTTTTTGGCTTGGTTCTGATACTAACTTTCTGCACAACTTCCCTTTCCTCCACACCCAACTCCAAAAAAATCCATCTCACAGTAAGAACCCATTAAGATCATTCTCCTCTCATTTATTATTGGTCAACTCAGACCTAGGACTTCACCAATGCCGAACACCTTTATTAGGAGGTGATGAACTTCTTCTAATGGGTCAGACAGTAAGTATTATAGGTTTGCTCGCTGTGTCATATCATCTTGTTCTGTTTTCATTTTTATAAGCGTACTAATCTACACTGAAGTATGTTCTAAATCCTAACCCTTATATAACTGGTTAAAATCCCATTTGGGAATGGGTTTTCCTGGTTAACAAGCATGTGGGCAGAGATGGGGAGTGAAAAGAGGCCATGCCACATAAAGATGATAAAAAAATCAAGAAGCCAAAGGTGAAAAGACCAGGACTCCCCCCACCCCCCAGAGCTGACAAAGAGAAAGCCTCCCCTAAGAGCTGGCACCCTGATTCAGAATTTCTGGCTGTGAAACTGTGAGAAAATAAATGGCTGTTGTTAAAGCCACTGCCTATGATTCCATCCATTATAGAGCAGCACTCGATAACTCAGACACCTACCAATCTTAGCTCCCTGCCAACCCGTTCACAGTGTTAGAGAGCTCTCAGTAAAAAATCTTGACTACATCTAGTTTTTTTTTTGGAAGAAAGGAATTCCCCAAATTTCAGCCCAAGAGTTCAAGCAAAGTAACAGCTCAATGATGGTATCTAAAGGTCATAATTTTAGTTTAATTTCCACCTCTTTGTTTTCAAAGAGATTAAGTCTACATCTCAGGATCTTGATGGTTTTCAACTCCATGCCTGGTGGGAGTATATTTCCTGCCTGTCATGTCTGTATTCAGTGTATTAGCCTATTCTTTCAGGTACTGAAGTCAAGCATCTATCAAGACTTCTTCATCTCTCACAAGTGGAGAAAAAATGAGGTCAAGAAGTCTGGAAAGTCTCCTTCCCACTAAACATTCGGCACAGCCAGATCAGCACAGAGCCTCTCGGAGGCCCTTCAGTTCAGCTGCAGTGACGCAGCATTCTTCTTAATACCAATGCAGTCTGTGCATCACTCTGCCTCTACAGAATCAACTGGCAATCACTACTTTAGCATTTCCATAGATGGAAAGGGCAGACAGATTATTTGAAGAGAGCTTAGTCACTAACTATCAGAACCTATACAGTATTTAAACTATAATCTGTATTGCTCTCATTAAGCACACTGCGGAGTCAGTTCCAACCCAAAGTAGCCCTATATAGGGTTTCCAGGGAGCAGCTAGTAGGTTTGAACCACCTACCTGGGGGTTCAAACTGACCTTGCAGTCCAGCATATTATCCTGCAGTGCCATACTAGGACTCCATAATCCATGTAATGGCTTAAATGATTCCTTCACATGTCACTCCAAAATGTTTACCTTTACAATTTGTACTAACCTGCGCTATTAAACCTCTGAAAATTAGCCAAATATACTAATCTCAAGATCGGCAGTTCGAAACTACAGCTGTCCCGTGGGATAAAGATAAGGCTTTCTGCTCACGTAAAGATTTACAGTGTCGGAAACCCTGTACAGTGTCACTATGAGTCAAAACTGACTCCATGGCATATTATCAATGCCACCAGCAAGGGTAGATATTCACATTATACCTAGATTTGCATGCATGAATACTATGAACTCCTTAAAAGTAGCTGAGGCAGATATCTTTTACAAACATATTTTGTACTTATACCATGTTTTTCATTAAGTTACATGCATACTTTTCAATGAACATAGGCTATTATAATTTCTCTATATTCATTTTATCATGTCACTGCAATTGATGCAAGTACCACAGGAAAAGAGATTAAAGGTCCAACTTGTTTCTCCAACATATTTCAAGTATCTCTTATGACTCAAGCCACAAAAAAATACAACTGGGCAATAAACCCGTATTCACTAAAAATTTCTTATATTGTCAAACTGTCCAAATGGTGGATTTTTACAGGTGATCAAAAAGACACATTATTAGATTGATCTGTTATATAGTTACTTACGTTCAATTTTTCTCTTCATCCTGGGACATACAAAGAACCAGACGATAAGGGCACAGAAAACTGCACATCCCACCGAGATGAGGATGGTACCCCACAGAGGAAGTTTGTCAAAGCCCAGCACTAGGAGATAAAATGGTGCATCTTGAAAACCCCAGGGCAACAGCCCCCGGCAATGTGTTAGCCCTCCTGGGACTCTGCGGAGTTCCCCAAGCCAGCCCATCACCTTTTACAGCTACTACCAGCTGTAGTTCCACAGGTTTACTGTTACAAAAAGAAATCAGATTTCAATTTGTGAGAAAAATCCTACACCAACACCTAAAAAACATGCGAGACTGAAGTTTCCTAAGCTCCTTAACATTCCAGTTTTTTCTTTCTTCACTAACTTTACCCTAAGGACCCTGAAAACTAGCTATTCCACTCACCAATTTAACTGCCATGCATTACCTTTGCACATATTTTTTTTATGTTAAAAAAAAGGAGTCATTTGTTAAGCTGATAAAATTATCTACAGAAAAGTTAACACATCCACCACTAGCCTTAAGTAAAATCTTTAACAAGATTATCTGTTTCGAAGTATTACCAAACTTAAAAAAACTGGAACATTATCTATCAACATATAAGACTAGCTAAAAGAGCTCTTTCGTAAAAGAAACACGGTTTGGTGGTAAATTTACAAACAACCCAGATCTTAAAAAAAGTGACTTGCCTACAAATACTTTTCACATGACTCATAGTCCATTAATACAAAACTTGAAAAAGTTCATGGAAAAACCCTTTACCCTCAAATTCCATTTCTCAACAAACTTTTTGAAGTCCCCTGAGATTAATCAGTAACTACTTGTCACTATCATGCTCATACACTCCAAGTCTCTAGGCTGTACGAAAGACATAATCAAAGCACTATATAATCTAATTAAGCCTAAAAATTTTTAGATGTTAGAATGATCTATATTAAGGAGTTCTGGTAGCGTAGTGGTTACGAATCGGGCTGTGAACCTTAAGGTCAGCAGTTCGAAACTACCAGCCGCTCCGCAGGAGAAAGATGAGGCTTTCTACTCCCGTAAAGATTTACACCCTCGGAAACCCTGTACAGGGTCGCTATGGGTCGAAACCGACTCGATGGCACTTAACAACAACAACAACATAGCTTATCCAAGCTTAGTTTTTCCTTGATTTTACTCCTTAAAAATTAAATTACTTGTGAAATAAAAACGATTTTCAATGATTAATCTTTAAAAATCAGATTAACTGAGGTCGCTCCCAAACTAAATATCTATGATTGTTAAGTCTTATCATCTTAATTTCTTTCAATTTTTATCATGTAGTTTAGGGGTGGGGAATTTTTATTCTGTCAAAATGTATAAACATTTGCAAGCCATACAAATTGATCAACTTTAAAATTAGCCTGCTGGGTCAGAATCGACTTGATGGCACTTAACAACAACAACATTTGGTCAGACATTTAATTAACTCACCCCCCCTAACGTGATGGCTCACCAGCCACTCCTAGGAAACCCTATAGAGGGGTCACTATGGGTCTGAACCAACTCGGCAGCACTTAACAACAAAATGTGATGGCTGGAACTGTGGTTGCTTTGGCAGGGCCACATCAAACAATTTCTAGGGCCTTATACGGCCCTCAAGCCACACGTTCCCCACCCCTACTGTATCACTGAAAGTCAAAGTTAAGTATATATGAAATTCAATCAATCTCTATCACAATGTAAATCTGCCTCCTTTCCAAAAACCAAAAGGAGAAAAAAAGACTAGCTTTTCTGATAAATAGATCCACATGGAATTCAAAAACATCCAAGTTTCTGTTTTCAAAAACGAATGAAAATTTGTTTCTAATTTCACTGAACTATGAACCTTGCCACTACCATACAAACCATCCAGGCTCAGTCTCACAGGGAGATTTTTCTTGTATAAAGTAAAAACACAACTCTACACAAAATAATTTTTTCTTCATAATGTATCAATTAGAGTAAGGAGTCTGTACTCCTTAATATGAGATCATTAGTCTCATAAAGTAGCTCATCTTCTTTCTTAATTATTTTAAGAATAAAGGCAAGGTTGTAACTAGTTACCTTAATTCTACTTTTGGTCACTGACATTACAACCATTGTTGTTAAGTGACGTCAAGTCAGTTCCGACCCACAGCGACCCTGTATAGGGTTTCCGAGGAGTGAGACTGGTGAGCTTGAACCACCGACCTTGCAACTGAACGGCTTTGCTGACTGGCCCATTAACCCACAGCACCACACCAGGACTCTACAATCCATTAGGCAGAAGTAAAAATCAAATCAGTGGGCCACATCAGAATAAGAAACTTAAAAACTTAAAAAAATAAAATAAAACCAGACTTAGATGAGTTCTTTACATCTAAGAAGCTCTGGTAGCATAGTGGTTATGAGTCGGGCTAGCAACCTTAAGATCAGCAGTTCAAAACTACCAGCGGCTCCACAGGAGAAAGATGAGGCGTTCTGCTCCTGTAAAGATTTATGGCCTTGGAAACCCTGTGCAGGGTCACTATGAGTCGGAACTGAGTCCACAGTACTTAACAACATTACACCTAAACATATTCATAATACTATTCTAATTATCTAGCTAGCTAGCTAGTTCTCTCCACATAGAATACATGTGTGCCCTGGGCAGCAACACATTTCTTCCAATGAGGCAGTCAAATGATAGAAAAGCCAATGACCATCAAGCCACAGGAGCCCAGACAGTATGCTGGTCAAGGTATGTATCTTGTGTAGTTGCTTAATTATACATAGATAGCTGTGATTTAATCCATGCTTTGCCTTAGTCCCAACAGAAAAGTAACCAAAATTTCAATCTTTATATTCTCCCAAATTATTTTTCCTCTTAGCTGCATGAATTCTTCTTCCAAGTGCACTTAGACCAGTTGTTAAACATGCCAGCTCTTCTCATTCAAGCAGATTCAGGGGAGTAAATTTGGTACTTAGTTATAAAAGTAGCTCCATTTGGAAGAAAAAATTGAAAATCCAGAAAACCAGCCCTAAATGACTGATTGTTGAAGACCAAATATAACTAATGACTCTTCAGCAGTCGAGGTCAGTATGAATTCCAACATTTTTAGTATAGATGGGAGAAAGGAAGGGAGAAGATCACATTATAGGTAGATCCTGTGAAGACTAAAGAGGAAAGGTCTGTAGTGATTTAGAATCTGAGCAGGTCTCTTTGGTTGAAAAACTATCTAGGTTAACTCAGCATACACTAGCCTGCAGCCTTCTGAAATGGGCGCAGGCCAGCCACCTTCTAGGAGATTTCAGCCCTGTAAAGCAAAAAGGGGTAAATCGGGCATTTAATGTAAGTTTTGTAAACACCCTGAAATTCACATTTAAATATTTTAATATGTACTTACAAGGTGCTCCAGTATACATGATGGAAAAGAGGTTTATTCCAATTGTGCAGGCATAGAAAACTGGCAAAGCTCTCAAACCATTAGGAACTGGATCTGCCTATGAAACACCATTAAGATCAATACATTAAAAGCTGTTAAAAGTTAATCCATTTACACAAAACTTCTTTTAACAGGGCAGATTCAGGAATTACAGATGTCAGTGTTTCTTCATAGTAAATTCCAGGGGCAACCGGGCTTTTTCCTGCGTGGTATTGTTAAGCGCCATCAAGTTGGCTCTGACCCATAGTGACCCTGAACAGGGCTTCCAAGGCTGTAAATCTTTACAGGAGCAGAAAGCCTCATTTATCTCCCGTGGAGCAGCTGGTAGTTTCGAACTGCTGACCTTGAGGTTCACAGCCTGATTCATAACAAATGTGCCTACCAGAGCTCCTTCTGAATAATGTTAAGTGCTGACAAATGCTATAAAAACAAAGAGGACAATGATGGTAGGAAGGGCACATTTTCATTCAGACAGAACAAGGAATGAGTGTCACTGATCACGGTGATGTTTAGAGGAAAAGAACGTAGTAAGCCAACAACATGTAAATAACTAGAGGTAAAAAGGTGTGGCACTGCAGGATAAGCACTGGACTACTAACCACAAAGTTTTCGGTTCAAACCCACCAGTCACTCCTTGGTGGTACTGGTAAGCCTTGGAGTTGGTTCCAACTTGTACAACCCTATAAATCTTTATGGGAGCAGAAAGCCTCACCTGTCTCCCACAGAAAAGCTGGTAGTTTCAAACTGCTGACCTTGAGGTAAGCAGCCCGACTCATAACCATTATGCTACCAGCGCTCCTTAGAAATCCTACATAGGGTCGTTGAGTCTGAAACAACTTAATGGCACTTAACAAACAGCAAGGAAGGAACAAGTCACCTGACTAATTTATTCCAGACAGAAGGCCCTGAACAGCAAGAAGGCTAGTGTGACTGGAAATAAGAAGAGTCCCACTTAAAACATGTACGTTAATTCTATAGGAAAAGAAAACACACAAATCAAATTTACAAAACAAGAGGACAAACCTAAATAAATAAGTAAGGCTCAACTTTTAAAGATGTTAGCCTAAAGATGGCGTGCTGGTGTGGCACTGTGGAATAAAGCACTGGACCGCAGGTCAGTGTGCACCACAAGGTCAGTGGTTCACACTCAACAGCTGCTCCTTGGAAACCCTATACAGGGTCGCTATAAATCGAAACCGACTTGATGACACTTAACAACAGCCTAAATGTTTAATACCATATTGATCAGTTCCCATGGAAAATTTGAGGGGGAGAAGACAAAATAGAAAGACCCTAAAATGATTCTATAGCTTCTGATAAGAAAAATCCATCCATTGGGCAGAATGAGGTATTGATTTAAGATCAATGAAACAGAAAAGCTCACAAATAGGAACATTTGTGCAAAGAGAGCTATTCTAAATCAAATAAAACCAATCTGAATGTTAACATCCTTATAACATCCTTTTTGATTTAACTATTTTTTAAAAGGACAGAGACTGAAATCACCAAAACAGATTCAATGATACATTACAGAACTTACTATACCATTACCCAAAACATTCATTATGAGTTGGAACCAAATCAATGACACTTGACAACAGTTACACTAGAGAGCCCTGTAGCACAGTGGATTAACAATGGACTGCTAAAAACAAGGCCAGGGGGTTCAAGGCTCCACCCCCAGAAAGAGGCTTTCCGTGCCTGTAAAGATTTAGTGTCTGAAACCACATGGAAAAAGTCTACTCTGTCCTATAGGGTACTGAACTGATGGCGATGAATAGGTTACTCACACTGAAGGCAGTCAGCAAGGTTATAAATCTGAGGTGTTTTCTAAGGCCAATACATGCTTAAAGAAAATTCTCCAGAGCCCTAAACCAAAAACTCATCACCATGGAGATGAGTATGATTCCCTATATGACAGAGCAAAATTGTCCCATAATGCTTCCAAGGATATAATTTTTAGAGGCAGACTGGCACATCCTTCTCCTGTGAAGATGCTGGTGAGTTCAAACTGCCACCCTTTATGTAAGCAGCTGAAATTTTAACCACTGTGCTACTAGGGCGCCTCCAAAAATAAACCCCACAGCCACTGAGCTGATTTCAACTTACAGCAACTATATAGGATTCCAGGCATGGCATTGTAGTAAGCACTGAACCACAAGGTTGGTTTGAATAACAAGGTCAGTGGTTCAAAGTAACCAGGCGCTCCTTGGAAACCCTATACAGGGTCGCTATGAGTCAGAACAGACTCAACAACACTTAATCACTCTGGCTCCATACAATGAGCATAGACTGACAACAACAAGGTCTACAGTTTGAGCCTGTCAGTCACTCAGCAGGACAAAGATAAGGCTTTCTGTCTCAGAAACCCTATACAGGGTGAGCTGGAACTGACATGGCAGCACTTAACACAGGACAAAACAGATCTGTTGCTTAGAGTTTTCAAGACCATAAATATTTACCAATGATGGGTTTGAACTGCCAACCTTGCAGTGAGCAGGCCAATGCTTAACACAACCACTAAATCCCCTTCCTTAATATATTTAAATATATTAGGGTCATATAACATAAGTATTAAAAGGAGCCCTACACCCTGGTAGTGTAGTGGATTACAAGCTGGGCTGCTAGCCCCAAAGTCAGCAGTGTGAATGTACCAGTTGCTCCTTGGGAAAAAGATGAGGTTTTCTGGTCCCATGATGATTTACAGCCTCGGAAACTCTACATATAGCTGCTGAGTCTGAACCAATTCCAAGGCACACAACTACCACCACCACCACCCACCATCACCAAGGATCCCTGGTGGTTCTGTGGCCTAAACAAAATTAGCAGTCCAAACCCACCAGCCACTCTAAGGGAGAAAAATAAAGCTACCTGCTCCCATAAAGATTTCCAGTCTTGGAAACCTTATATAGGGTCGCTGTGAGTCAGAATGGACTCAATGGCAGTAGGTTTGGTTTAATTTTTACAAAGGCAAGCCTTGGAGATATTGCCGTTTCAGTTCCAGACTACCAAAATAAAATTGGTATCACAATAAAGCAAGTCACACGATTTTTGTTTCCCAATACATGCAAGCCATGCTTGTACCATATATATCATAGGCTATTTAGTGTGCAACAGCATTATGAAAACATTTGGTAAATCTCACAAGATATATTGTGAGATTTACCAAAATTTGACATAAAGAGACACGAAGTCAGCATATGCTGTTGGAAAAATGGAACTGATAAACTTGCTTTGATTCAGGCTTACCACAAACCTTCAATTTGTTTTAAAAAAAAAAAAAAAACCACTATCTGCAAAGCTCAATAAAATGAAGCACGATGAAATAAGGCATGCCTGCACATTAGGTAGTGACGTATCGCAGATTTTCAAAGACTAGTAATATGGTATTTACAAATAAACCAAAATGTAATTGGCCACATTTCAGTAGCTACATTGGCCCAGAAGTTTTAGTAGTCTCTGAAGTAACCAGTACTAAATGGTGGAGGAAATAAACTAAGGAAATGAATAACACTACTAGTAGTTTATTATAAAATTATGTGCATGCTAAAGGAAAAAAAACAAAAACTCCTGCCTTGTACTTTAGTGTTTGTTACTAGCAGACACGTGTTGTTAATGTACAAAACTGTCAAGATAAATTTTTTCTACTGCTGGAAATTGAAAATGTTGCTAATAAGATAGTTGACAAGTTGAGTAGGTGTATACACCTTACCATCCAGTTATTTGGTCTGAAAAGGAGGAGCTTCATATTCCCTACTGTCAACCACAGTAGTTCATTTTTTACAACGGGGTGTTTCACAAAACTTTCATTTTAAAAGCTGTTCTGTTAATTGCTGTCCAGTCAGTTCAACTCATAGTGACCTTTGTACAGGGTTTTTAAGAATCTGCTAGTTTTAACCACAGACCTTGCAGATTAGCAGTCCAGTGCTTATTCTACAGCACCACAGCAAGACTTTTAATATTATTCCTAACAAATGGGAGAATGCTTTAAAAATATGTGATTAAGTGACTAGAAGTCAAAAACTCAAAAGGAGCACAATCTTCTTCCTCTGCTCCTTGTTTAAAGCCACAACTCTCCTTAACAAAATTACCTCATCTTCATTCTGCTTTTTTCCTCCGAAGTAAACCAGTATCTTTGTTAACAGAGACATTCAGAAATCAAGACATTTTCAAAATGCAATGTTAATATTAGTTTCCAAAATAGGATCTTAAGAGTTGGAAAGCATCTTAACAACCAGATGAAACTCCACCTTCCAAAAGCTTACCAACCTAAGGAATTTTTCTATTTTAAAACCTAATGTTACCTAAAAGCTCACCCGTTACTTAAGAACTGGTAGAGGGGTTTATGTGTACACGATACTGGAGGGAGGCAGAGACTGGGAGGAGGGATGCTGAGTATCCCTGGTAACACAGCGGTTAAACACTCATCCTTTAACCAAGAAGCCAGAGGTTCTAACACACCAGGTACTCTGTGGGAGAAAGACGTAGCAGTCGGTGCCCAAAGAGACTCCAGCCTTGGAAACCCTATGAAACAGTTCTACTCTGTCCTACAGGGTCATTGTAAGTCAACACTGGCTTGATAGCAATGGACTGTAAATGTTTCATCTTTAAGAGTCAGGTTACAAAAATAGCGATTATGAGCACTTGTCTAGTCACAGAATTTCTATAGAGCCGTGGAACAAATCCTTTCCTAGAGAAGCTTAAAACTAGATCAAACAAATGGGTGTAAATAATTCTTACCTCTTGGGAATAAGCTATCTATCTCCCTTCACTCTGATTTCTACAATTTAGGAGCATTCTAAAGAACCTACAATGGATCGGTTGAGAGTCATTCGTCTCAGAAAAAGGACAACTTTGTTTTCTGAGAAAAATGCATTTATTCTTACAATTCATTCCCATGCCAACAAAATCCCTTGTTGTCTACATTTATTTCAGAGTCAGCATCAGACTTCTTGATAAAAGAAATGTGATCAGATCCCTCAAAAGATTTTCAAGTGGACAGGAAATAAAATGGCTGCTTGGATGGATAGGGTTGCCTTTATTGGTTCTTGTCTATCTATTCTGAGAAATTGGAGTCCAGTCACATGTGAAATAGAAGGCTCATCTAGAAGTTTATAAACTGTCTATGATTAATTAGCATTGTAAAAAGAACTACAGAGAAACTCTAGCTACTCCATTTAACTGGCAACTTAGAAAAGGCCCCAGGAGATATTGTGACTTGTTAAACCCTAAACTTGTCATTCAAATTGGTTTCGAATATTAGCTCAGATAAAAGCATTTATCAGTTCACAGACAAAGTTCATTCTAAATAAATTCCCGTATTTTCCACACTGGTCTCCCATTTCTTGGCACAAATTAATACTCATTCAATTTTTCTTTCCTGAGTATTAAAAATTTGCTTTTCAGAGGGCACATAATAAAAGTGTATAGAATATC